CCCCCCTCCCCCCCCCCCACCATTCTTGATGGGGAATTGGCTAGTATTTTAAGACTCTGTCATTAGTAAGAAGATTGCTCTTAGTAACAAGGGATCAGTACCATTATCAGAGACTGATTCAAATTAAAACACCAAATTATTTTCTTGAATGAAGGACTAAATGCGCTCCAAAATCTGAACTTCTTTCAGGGTTAATCCCTGGGACCTTTGTTGACCACTATTTTTAGATCCACAGGAAAGCATCTCCTAGATCAAAGTCCAAATCTTATCTATCACAGACAACCATGTCACATAGTCCCTTTCATAAACCAAGTTCCACACGGAGAGGCAGGAATGGCTATGAAAACATCTTACATTGCTTCTTCTTTCCTACCCTGCAAACTCTGCACACCACATTGCTCCAGCTAGTGACAGACCCATCTTTTCCTCCTAAGATTTTACAAGTCTAGCCACCTATTCCTCATCCATCCTTGATGCTTTCTGGAAGCAAAGCTCAGTAACTTTCAGCATCCTACTGCTCCACATAGCTATTACCATTCAAAAACAAGGGGGCTGCTCAATGAAGATCAGCCATCTCTGTCACCAACGTTTTTTCTGGAGTGAAGCAAGATGGGACCTCACAAAAGGGACAATCCTTTCCCTTCCATACTTATCCTGAAGCCTTAACTGAACCACTGGCCCTGAAAAGAAATGAAGATAGATGAAAGGGATTTCTAGCTAAGTATGTTGCTGCAGAAAGCAAGCCAAAACAGCTTGATATCCAGTTAACCAGTTTACTCCTGGGAGCCACTCTTATTAAAGTGCCCACAGCATCTCATACATTCAGCATCCAACACTTCAAAATGGTGGAGGGGGTGCTTTAACTAAAGCTTGCTCGATGAGCTTTAGTTAAAGTGCCATCGCCACCATTTTGAGGCACAGGGACCCTAAATACACATGATGCTGAGGCTGCTGAAGCGTGCTATTAGCATGTTCCAGCAGACTCGATTAATCAAGTCTTGTCTGATGCATTCTAATTAGCACGCATCGCAGCAGGTGTCAGGCACATGTCTAGGTGCCCTTTAAGCCTGCAGGGCTCCCACAGGAACCAGGGTGAGCAAAGGCAGGGCCCAACACCAAACTCTCAAACTCATGGCAAAATCATAACTGAGTAAAACTAGAAAAACTTCCCAAGAGACTCTCAAGCTCCCACCGCTTTTGTTTTTTGTTTCATACTTTCTACCTGTGAAACATTTAACGTATGGCAAATTGACTGTCAATTATTACTAGCCAAGGAGAGAACTTGTATAACATCAGATGCTTGCCATTACCTTTCAATCTATACTCATCAGTGTAATTCGCAGCTCTGCTTGAGGTTATAACAGGCTACAGAAGGCCCACCCACAAGCTTAGTCAATTTCATTACCAAAGGGGTGGAGTGAGCACTTCTTTCACCATGAAATAACCAAAGCAGAAAGATGCTGGTTTCTGACTTCACTATTATTCATACAGAAGATAGGTGTAACAAAATATTTCATTACAACAGAAGTGGTGAAAAACTCACTTTTACTATATGTTTATCTTTAAAGACTTTCCCTATCAAAACTGCTTGTATGACATAAGTACATATAAAACATAATGAAGTTTCAATACGTAACATTTACAAGACAAATCGCTCAATTCCCTTATTAACATTTGTTCTAAACAGAGTATTAAGAATAAAGTTTATTTGGTAACTTAGCTTCAAGTTCAGTCATGTCTGACCCTCTGTATTCTTTATTTCATGTTCCACCTGTCCATCCTCTCTCAAATTAAGGTACAAAATCTATGACATTTTACACACTGATCAGTGAATGAATTTTCCAATGACTTTTCTCCTTTTCCCCAAGAACTGTCTAATAAACACTCAAGTAAATCCTGTGAGCATTTGCTAATTAACTGTTTAATGTAGTTATACAAGATTAATACAGTAGGCTGATTTGATGAAATGTTTGCCTTATAAAAAGTATCTGTGTGGTATAAAAAGACTGTATACCTTAACCTGTGGAAATGAGCAGCTGTGAACAAGAAACTACACAAGGTTGCAGATGTGAGATCACCTCAGCATTCCCAGTCTACTTAAGCACCCTTAGTCTGGTACTAACTACTACACTTAGCATTTATAAACAGTATACAAGATCCCTGCATATAATATCTGTGTACCAATAGCAGATAGTTGCATAAGGATGCCGATTTAAAGTTAAAAGTTTAGGACTAGGTTAGGACAAGGTATGTAAATCAAGAAGCTTGACAGGAAACAAAAAATGCTAACCAAACTTCTCATTTTCCTTCACATCCATTTTGGCCCATCTGGAAATTCTGAGATTCTTGGGGGAGGGGGAAAAGTAAAATTAGCTGAAAAAGCTCATCTGCTTAAATATCATTACAGCTACATATACATTCTGTTATTCGAAGTATTTTTTTTATTGAATGTGAAAACATACCTGCAAACATCATGCTATATTAAACTTTCAGAGCAGTTAAGATTAGAAAAATGAAGCGTCTGTGTATGAAAAACATGAACATTTGAGACTCTTTCCTTATTAACTGATTTAATTAGGACATCTGATTTCAGTATGATTTTATTATTACTACTTATTTAGTTTAAAATAAGAAGCATTAAAAAGCTGAATGGCAAGTACAAAGTAAAAACCTTTTGTATGGGCTTTGTTTGCAAGTCTCCATTCTCTGACAAACCAATGTCCAATAGTCCATCATCCCGTTGACCAATGGCCTTCAGCCCTTGTAGAAGTATTTCTCGGAAATGCTGATAAAAAGGTTTCTCTTCATAGCTCAATAACTTCACCTTTTCCATGTATTTGGCTATTTCATCTGGGAAAAAAGTACCTACATTTAATGTCTATTAAAAGCAGTTTAATCAGTAGGTTTTACCTTAAAAAGTCAGAAAACTATGAGAACCCATGTACAGTTCTTTGAGATGGATATTAAAACATACTTAATTATGGCTATTTAGTACAATATATTTTAAAGGAAAAATAACCATTCTCAGTGCTATTTAACAAATGGTCACAGCACCACTTCCTCTTCTATATTCGCCACCAGGAACGAAATATTCAGTCTTTAAAAACTACTTCAATAGGCTTATATCCTCCACAGTGAGACTTTCATTCAATTGTATTTCTTCTTCCCTGCATTTAAGGGCACCTACTACAGATGACTGGAAGTCTGAACACAGTTTTTTTCTTTTATAAGAAAAGGAGAAACAGTTTCATATTTTTCCCCCCAAATGAAAGACAGAAGTGTCATTGCCAGGAAACCTTTAAAACTATACTTGACAAAGTACTAGTAAACTGGAAAATCCTGCATTAACAATTAGGACTAGGTAACAGAATTCTTCCATTTCTAATCTCTGAGAAAAAGTATTGAAGTTACTGTCAAGGCTTTAAGAAAATTGCTAACCAGCTCACCAGGGCAAACTGCAAGCTCTCTCACAACAGACCTAAGAAATTATTTAGAATTTAAGCTTTTCTTTTTAAAAAAAAAAAAATCTAGGTCTTCCAGCTGTAAAGAAAGTTTCTAAATATAATGGAATATAAGCCAATGTGAAGCTCTCTTCTAAGCTACAGACAACATTAATGACACTGCTGTGCTCCTCACAGCTTTGTCAAACTCTAGCAGAGAGGGGAAAAATAAAATAGACTTACCTATTCAACGAATGTTAATTATTGCTATTCAAACCCTGGTGATCCAAGAAACAGGTCTTGCAGATAGAACTCATTGGTACAAACTTCCACCCAACCCCTTTCCTAACATGTGATTTTAATCTACTTATATTAAATCCAACACAGAAGAAATTTCTACAAACAGCCAAATATTTAACAAAAAAGTTTGTCAGACAAAAACTGTAATTTCAGACACGCTGCAAATGCACTCCTGGGGTTACCTAAATAATCTTTCCAAAACACATTAATGTTATCTGCAGCATTATAGCGGTCAGTTAGTCTTTAAAAAAAAAAGTACACTGAAATAAAACATTAATGATGCATCTTGCCAAAAAAACCCCAAAACCACCTAAGTATTAAAGACAATTTGTCTAAATAGAATAAAACTACAATTTTGTATTTGTATTGTATTGTATCTGATATTTTATATAGTTCTTCCTACCTGGTTTATTTTCCCCAAGAAAGCACTTCTCCATCAAGTCCACAATATTCTCTCTGTATCTGAGAAACAAGTGTAGAAAAATCAATTACACAGACTGCAATAATTTATATTTAATAATAACTAAATAATATATTCATTCACATCAGATTCAAGTTAAAGTAAGGTAGAACAAAACAAAAACAGTTTCTCAAGTTAGTTATTTGTGTTAACATATAAAAACAATTCTTTGAAGAGTATATAAAACTGTTTGGTAAAGGTCTTTTGTCCTTATTCTGTTCACCTTTTGCACTGTTGTCTAGCTCAAGAGATTGGAAAACCAAAACACTTTGTTGTTTCCATTTTACAGTTGGATCTTTCCATGACAAAAATTATGCTTCAGTTTTTCTTTTTGAGGAGAAAGGGCACTTATCCATTTTGTAAAGTCCTTTGATCTTTTATTCCTAAGAACTTAATAAAAGTGTTTTAATTCTGCACTATTCTGTGATACAACTGAGAAGAGCATGCGATTAGAAGACAATGCCCCTCTAACAAACCTAGCTGAAGGAAACAATTTCAGTTCTCTGCTGCCCCTGAGCAACTGCAGTATGTATATATGGCACAGTGCCCTGCTAGCTCTGTGCACACTACCTACCCAACCAAAAGCAGTTTAAAAGTTCTACTGTGATGACAAATGCAAATCAGTAAGAAAAATGTCTAGAAGCTACTAGACACAGCTAATGCAGTGCATTTCAGCCCTAAGATGCCTTGTTTCATATAGACCTGAAGAATCAGCTTGAGACCTAACAGGAGAGAAAGCCTAGAGAAAAACAGAAATTCCAGGTAACATTTAAAATATGTATCTTCTGCAAGTTTTACCTTGAGAGGCTTTAAAGATGAAACTCTCAGGAGATAAACTAGTTTTGAACCCAGTTCCAAAAAACACTCTAAGCTGTCTTGCTTTGAAAGGGAATGATAGTATTGGCTGTAAGTTTGTATGTTAATATTTGCAGCTTGAGCAACTATTTTTAGTCAGACATTTAAATTGGACTTTTTTATTGACTTTCTGAATTTTGGTGACAGATGTCTCTAACACATTTTTCCCACATAATGCTAGGCCAGCTTCAATGAAAGTGGTCTCATGTCCAAACTTTTGGTATTGTTTGGCAGAGTCTCTGTGGTATGTAAACCCCGAGTATTTTTAAGATGATCAGGTTAAAACATTTCTTCAGAATTGATGTTAGTTACAGTAATCTAATTCAAGTCTGACTGGAACAGGTTCATGACACAGGGTAAACCTCACCCCAGATTTGGAGGATCACTATGCAGTGCTGCATGTATGAAGATCACCAACTACCAGAACTAACAGCTAGGTCACAGAACTTCCCTCTAGTTGGTTGACCCTAAAAGGCAAGATTAATATTCCAGAGTTCCAGGAGAATCATTTTTGGACAGAGGAAATCCAGACTTTGGCCACATGCATGTGTTAAGTTTCTACTGGGAGAAGAATCACTGCTCTCCTGGTAGAAACAATGAACATCCAGGTATTGACTCATTTTCTCCCAGAGCAAAAATGGAGGTTCCATGAGAAAGAGCAACTCATCTCCAGGTGATAGAGGTCACTTCTGGGAGATTATCTCCTGGTGGAACACACACACCTGTACTCAAGAGAGAAGCTGTAGTGCTGTCTTCCAGCGTTTCAGAACGTCTTGTTCTCCCACCCATCCCCAACCAACCCCGACAGCTCCAGGGAGACAGTTTGTGACTCGTGCTGCACTCTACTGCAGCAGCCAAGCATGGTATGACCACCGGTCCTGACAGCTTTCAGGCCATGAACGCCCAGCCCCTCTCTATAGCCCCATGCTGTACTTCAAGGCTGAGGAGAGAGATAGTTCCATGGCAGCCATGGGCCCTATCATTCTAACCAGGCAGGGGAACTCAACAAGACCAGACCCTGAGGGAATCTGTCTTGACCTGAACAAACCTGACCATACCTGACAAACCCAGACCCAACGCCAACCTGCCAGCACCTGGATGTGAACAGACGTGCCCAACCACAACCTAGCACCATGATTCCATCAGGGTAGTCTCAGATGGTAATATTGGTAAGAGGAAGGAAAACAGAGAAACTGAGGCACACCTCATTCCCCACCATATTCCCACAGGGCTGGGTGCTTCCCTGCACGCCAGGAGGGAGACAGCTGGGAGCTCCCTCATCCCGAGACCTTCACATTGGTCACAGAAACCAGTGCTGGTAAGAGACAAGGAAATGGGAAAACTGAGGCACACCTCATTCCTTGGCATACTTCCATAGGGCCAGGGCCTGCCCAAAGTCCTGGCATGCGAGGAGATATTCTGCCAGGGGCATGCCTGACATGCATTGGAACTGGGTCGATCCACTGGTGCCAGAGGGGTAGGAATCCACTGCAGGCTACTGGAGGGTAAATTGACAGGTTTCCTAATGAAAAGACAGCAAACACCCTCTAGGTTTCCAGCTGGGCGGAAGGGAGGGAGAAGGTGCTGCAAAAAGGAGTTCCCCGTGAGGTATGGTCTCCTAAGCTGGCCAGCCAATCAGCTCTGACCTATATGTCTGGACTGCTCTCACCATTCTCCATCAGCCAGGGGATCCTGAAAAGCATGCTGGGATGTGTGCACTGTGGGTCCCTGGCTCTGTACTCTTGGCAACACATGCTATGTGTGTGGGACCTGCCCAGCCCCTGAAATGTCTGCAGAGTCTTCTCTTTACTAAGGGGAAAAAAAGTGCAAGAAGTCTCATGGTGGCTCTGAGTCCCTGTATGTGGCCTTTGACAAACCAGACTGCTCCTGCACTGTAAAAAGAGGCTCACTAATAAGAAGCAATTTAGAAGAGCAGCTCAAGCACAATCCCAGCTCTTAGACTGTGGTACTTTAAGTGTTTACAAAACTCTTAGTCATTTCAATAAAAACAGAAAACAAAAAGCAATTATCTGAGAAATATCCCATTCTGTTTAGATTCTTTAATTTAAGGTGTGAAATCATTTAGCACTCTTGCACACCAGCATACACCCAAAAGTCTGCATGATAAAGTAACAGAACACCCCCCCCCCGGTTTAAAGTGTCTTTCAAATATATTTATTCATGCGAGTTCTGTTAAAAGTCTCAAAAACCAGGAATTGTGAAATCAGAAATTAAACAAGCTCAATCTACCACTTATCCAAAGTCTTCTTTTAAAGTCTAAATTTAAAATATTACTACGAGGGAAAAAGAAGAATAATACTACATAAGAACTGAATTCTAAGAGGGATGCTTAATGGGCTCTGAAGTTATGGTTCAGATATTCAAGAATCTGGTTACAGTACCAAGATTTTAACCAGTTTTAAAATCATAGATATAACTTACTCTGGTAAATTACTCTGCTGGGAGTTATAACCAGAGACACCTTAAAATCAGCTTCAGAACTTAAAGATGGATTAATTCTAGAACCTATCTGAGGTCTAACTCATTTTAAGATTTAATTCCAAGATTAAATTGTTGATACTAATTCATTGATTTGACTTTGATTTGGTCTTTTTCTTATTCTTAGTTTAGTTTAATATTAGCAATAATTCTGAAGCTTTGTTGTTTTAAAATGCTTTTTATAAAATCATTTTAAGCATAAAAATATTCTAGGTATTTCTCTTTCAATAAGCAATACAAGTCCAGAATCTTTGAGGATCTTCAGATTCCTCCCACGTAATTTTTGTTTCTCACAATTTAATTTAGGTAAACTATTACACATCAAAAGATGTTCCATCTTAAACTCCCCACAGCAGCTCCCCCCTTCCCGTCCATTCAAGTCCAATCTCTGTTATAGCTGATGATGGGTAGGGCTCTTACCCCTTACATACGGCAACTTTCACCATATCTGTAATTAAAAGAGAGAAGCTGCTTGCTCTGAGAAAGGTGCAACAAGCAGTGTTAGAAAAGGGACAGAAGCTGCTCTGAATGAGTGCTGGTGAGAAGACAAAGCTGATTTGGTGGGACCTGGCAGAACTCTCGTTCTGTTAAGGTCAATAATTCTTTCAAGCGAGAGAGAGCTGTGGACATTCTGGAATCCCTATGCCAAAAAGTGAAAGAGTACATACAATATATTATACCCAGCCCTTCACAGCAAAGGAAGCTGTATAAAAGTACAAAATATTGCTATTGCCTTTTTGCTGAAAATGAAAAAGAAAATAAATTCCTTACCTGATTTTTGAATCTCTGACATAGTTGGGGTCTTTCAAATTGTCCTCCCATGGCAGATGGCCACTGAGCCAATGAATCATACAATAGCCTAGAATTTCCAAGTCACCACGTCTTGACGGAGCTACAAACACAAAAATCTGAACAACAACGATGCATGCAAACAAACATTTAATTGTTTAAATATATTAAGACAATTGGAAATCAATTCAAAATTACTACATCCTTTGCGGGAAGTAGAGAAGGAAAAAATAGTGTTCTAACGTTTGGAAGTTCACTTCATTTCAAACTCCTATATCAATCACTTTCTCCACTCAAAGATATGTCATGCAGCAGTTATGCCAATTTGTGAAGCATTTTAAATCCTCCGATTGTGACAAAAATAGAGCGAGTTAGTGAACTGATTGACTTTTCTATTCAAAACATTACTATTTCATGAGGACAAGGAAGGTAAAAATAATTTTGAAATCTGGGTTCCTGAAACTATCTTAGAATATGGGAACTTTTCAGATTTCCTTAAAGTGTATTGCTGCTTTTGAAAGATTCTAAAAGCAGATGTGTTATATATCCATAATCATCTTTAAAATATGATGTTGTGTGTTCCTTAAGATAAAGATTACAATTATATTAAATGGACAAACCGCCAAATCATCTATTGAAGGCCTAGTCAATTTGTAGCCCAAATGAAACAATTAACACTACAGCACATTTTACTGTTTAAATTAAAAACTTCAGCAAGACAAGAAAAGAGCAACACAGCTGATCTGGTAAGGTCTCTATAAAAAGTCATACTGCTAACCATTTGAGGCTCTGTTATTTTAATATTTAATATTTTCAATGGCCAAAGGTTAGACTTGTAGGATAGTTGTTTAGTTCTAATACTATTCAAGGTCAACTTCCATATGTGCTAAAAAAATCATGATCAGCCAGCCCACAGCCAAATATAGGGAAGTGTGCTTCATAATTATTGTGGAAACAATTTATTTCCCCCCAGAAACAATCATATATTTTTCTAATGAGAACACCCCAGAACCTTAAGATACTGGATAACTTTATGTAAAGGTCAAATGTCTAGGAAATACTTTGCATTTTTCCCCAAAGGCTATCACAAAGTAACAGCAAAAACAAACAAACAAACAAAAAACAAACAAAAAAATAGGAAGAAAAGAAAGAGAGTAACCTGCTGAAATTGTTGTACAGCAAATTCTACTGAGATGAGAAGGATGGGCTTTTGCTATACAACTAAATATTTAGTCTTCTATCTACAATGTTTAGACACCCTATTATAAATTAGCCCAGCCTAAACATGTAACTACTTAAAATGCCCTTCATGTCATACTGTCTTTATTATAAAGTAAACAAAAAGGTTTTGATTACTTACCCACACCCTTATGTGCATCAATACTAGTATATTCAATAGTCCCATCATGGCATCTTTTTGGGTCTTCTTTATATTCTTTGTGAACTCCTTCTGGGCAGTATCGATATGCAAGGCCATAATCAACCAAGTACACCTATTAATTCCCACATATCATCCACAAATTAAAGTATTATACATACAGAATAATCCAAATAAACAAACAGGAATGGTAAAACTTCCTGACTCTTCTAGATGTAAACCAAATCCCTGACATAACTGAGAGTTGCAAGACAAAATTTTCAAGATGCCCCACAGTTAGTGAACTGTATGCAACACCCCACTATTCCTTCTTCAAGAGCTATACACAGCTCACAAGCCAGACTGGGCAGCCATGTAAAAGAAGTAACTATCAATACCTATTCTCTAAACCTCGTTAGAATAAAACCTACAAATGCTCAGCTCTCTGGATTAAAATCGCACTTATTTACTATTAAGTGAGACAACTGTGCATACCTTGATAGCTACAAGTACTTGCCGCTTATCTAAGGTAAAAAAATAGAAGGATATAACCAGTTTAAGGAATCAGTTTTTTGGTTGCTCTAGCATAGTAATTCTCAATAAGAGTGCCGCAGCACTCTGGGGTGCCTTAAGATCCTTTCACGGGTGCTGTGGGGTACGATGCAATGTTGTTAGCAGTGTTAGTTGTGCAAACATGATTCATAAGATAAACCCAGAGAGTTCAAATAGGAATCCAGAGCATTAAAGCCATCTGACCTGCTGTGATCTGAGTTTTTTGCAACAGAAAAATTATTCCACTATTATTCCGTATTCAAAAAATGACTGAAAGCTAAGAATCTGCATTTTCCAAAGGGGAGGTTGAGTCTAACAAGGGCTTCCTCGTGTCTAAAAAGACTGAAAACCATTGATCTAGCAACAGATAAAGGTTCAATATTCAGGTAGTGGACTGCATGTGGTAGAAGGGGCTCAGCCTTGGCAGCTGAGTTTAGAAATACCAGTTACCATTCTGATTTTTTTTGATTATTCATACTGATCAGATTAATTCTAGTTTTACACACAGTAAAATCAGGAGTGAAAATAGTAATTCCAAGCATGAATCTTCTCTAGCCCTGGCTACTCCTAAGCATAATGACAGTAGTTTATTCACTTTGTGAGGTAAAGCATTTAGACAAGAAAACACAGGCAGTTATGAAATTCAAACATGCATTTTCCAAACACTAAAGGGTGTAAAAATTTAGAAAACTAAAGATATTTCTGTAAACCAATTGCTTTGAATAATCAACATGTTAAAAGACCAAATTTTCCAAGTAACAGAACACTTATTTGATGGATTCTTTGAACAAAGGAAATAAAAAAGTGACAAAGCAGACAGGCAAACATAATTCACTGGTGTACTATATAATTTTAAGCTTCCACCCCCAAACAGCTATTTGAAATTCACTTTGTATCACAAGCACTCCTCCTGAATATTATTTAGGGCAAAACAGCCAACTTGATAAACTGCCAGCAAATTGCATCAAAAATGTAGAATATTAACTAGATATAAATGTCAAGCAGAAATAATATTACTGTATACGTTCTTAAAAAATAAAGATTTCTGCTAGGTTTCCCAGGTTCAAAGCCTCTTTATATGTTGTCAAACAATAGGTTTAAAACAGGAGAAATGACACACATCAGAAATACCTGATTCGGATTCTTGTAATTCAGGAGAATATTTGAGGCCTTGATGTCTCCATGCACATATTCATATTCATGGATATATTCCAGAATATCAAGCTAACAAAACAAAATACATTACAAAGTCAATGCAATACCCAACTCCATCCAGCAGAGGACCTCTATTCAGCACAAAATGTCTAAAAAAAGACTAAATTAGAAAGATAGATTTCTTACTTACTATTCTTAAGCCAAACTGTAACACAGTTTTATGTGCAAAACGCTTTGAATTTTCTTCATATATTTTCTGAAGATCTCTCCCAAATCGGTCCATTACCATAAACCTATAGCTGTTTGAAAGCAGGAAAAGAAGTTACTAAAGCTTGTAGAGGAACTCTCTCACATTTTACAACCTATTCTTGAAGTAATTCTTGAATTGAAATGTATACTTTTAATTATAAACATAATCTATGTAGCTGACAAATATTTAGGAATATTTTATTGTTTCTGTACTGTTTTTGAACTGTGACATTGTTTTGTTTGAACTATATCACCTAGACAAAAAGGTCCTCTGTCAAAGTTATGTTCCCAATAACCTACTATTTTTACAGAATAACAGAAAATGACTATCTGCAGAACGGATTTTATTCAAAAACTAGAAAAAAATCAGTTGTCTGTAGAACCCAATAATTGCTTCCTATAAGTGACTCATTTCATTTAAGTGGTGGTTACTTTTACAAGTTGGTTGCTTTGAAAACAATGCTACTAAGATTTAAATGAGCACTTGACCTAGTACAGTGAATCTCACCTGATAAAGATGGCTTGACATTCATCTTTGTTTGACAAAGTGAATTCACTTTAGTACCAAAGCTTTTTCCTACAAAAGCCTTGCACACTGAATGTGAACATACTGAAAAAGCTCATTTGGGTTGAAACATTTACCTTTGTTATGTTACATTTACTCATTTACTTTTGCCTCTCATGGTTAATCAGAATTGAACTCCCTGCTACATTAAACTACTGGGTGATTTAAGGCCCTAACTGTTTCAACTGCCCTGTGAAGTGACCTATCTTGGGAAATTCTGTGGGTAAAAACCAGGATTGCTCCTGAGATAGTCTTTTATTTTGAGACCCTACAGACTTACAAGCCTGTTGTCCCACTTCAAATATCTGTGAAGTATCCAAGATTTTTCCTGTGATAATACACTTAGTCCTGTGATAATATGGGCTAATTCAAATTAACTGCCATTCAAGCTGCATGTGTAGAGGGCTATACTGCTTCCAAGTGAACTTGGATCAATCAGAACCAACTCAAATGAGATGTCTGTTTCTACCCTAAATGATGGTGCAATAAGACTTTTGGTGCCAAAAGCCTGTTAAATGCCAAAGTTCCTTATCCCTGTTCTCTCTTGCTCCACTGTTTTCTTTGCTGAAGAGATAGGGCATTTAAAAGTAATCAGCATCATTCAGCAAAAGACTTCATCTATTGTAATTCCAAAGATTCCTAGAAGGATTTTTTGTGTATTCTGTGCATGATTGACCACAATTTGCTGGTGGGGTTGAAAAAAGCAAAGCCCCTTGTTCCTTCATGAATGCAATGGATAAAGAAGTGGAAATATGTTTAGTAGTAGTTGTTACTTAATAGTCTTCTCTGTTCTTTCCATTTAATAAAGGATGTCTGTTCTGTAATCAAGCCTGGACAGCACTGGTCATATAAACCCTTGTAGGACACCATCCTTTTCAAATCCCAATGCAGGGAAGGATGGTCAGAGAAATGTAGCAATTTAAGTGAATTAATCTATTGATCATAATGAACAGCATACAAATGTACCCCAAAATTTTAAGATAAGGATTAGGCTGTCTAATTTAGCCCAAAGATTAAATCAAGAGATGCTCTACTGTGTAAGTAAGCCATATTTTCTGTAGATTAAAGCATGCTAAACAGTAAACCACTTTCTTTATATATGTGAATTAAAATACTAGAATTGTCCCTAGAAACAAAATCTCTTACCTGTTTCCATTCTTTTGATGCAAGCCAGACCCCCAATACCTTGGTACACCTAGATATTTCAGTTTATGGGATTTAGTCCATTTCTGAACTAAAAATACAAATAAAGACACGTACATTAAAATTTCCTAATGAAGTCTTCTGCAAAATGCTACCTAAATCATTTTGTTTTGGTATCCACATAAGATGTGATCATCATTTGACAATGAGCAAACCAAGTATATTAGTAGGGAGTCAAATAATTGTCTACCTCTGGCTAATTCTGGTAATTCAGCTGCAACGGGGACACACTGACGATCACATAGGCAGATGTAAAGTGCATCTTTTCAGTTTCAATACAACTAATACCACTGATGGCAACATGCCCAAAATGCAACTGTAAGACAACATTTATCACAACAAATTCAAATTTTCCAAAATTATTAAATGATGTCAAATAAATTCTTCTTTTAAGACAAATAAGTGAATCTTATTAAATCATCTTTTGGTTTTAAACACTAAATCCTGTTTGTTCTTTTGATATTATAAGGCTGAGGCCTTCTAAGATGAAAAAATTACAAGAGCATGGGTTTTAGTTCAGTAACTCCTGCTTATTAACAATTATCTTCAGTAATTACCCATTTAGAAAAAGAAACATCCATTTATGATTAAAAGCATTCTTAAGAAATGTAAATGAATACCAGTAGTTCATTTTAAAAAATGGATCTAAAGAGACTTTCTTGATGAGCTAGATAACCCATTTAATGTTAAAGAGTACCACTTAGCTTTTATTTTATTAAAAACCTCAAGAGAATTTATTATTTATAGGAAAATGTGGGCTTAAAGTTCAATCAAAATGTCTAATTGACTGCTTACTTTGCTCTGGTTTCGCAGCTCGCATGTAGAACTTTAATTCAGAAAAAAGAGGTCCATTCTGGCTGGGTTCCTTTAAAATAAATTTTAGTTAGAGTTGGTTAAAGTTTTAGCTAACGAAAACAATTACTCTGAAAAACTTGACATGTTACCCTAAAATTACATTATTCTTCATCCCTGCTTTGGATATTGATAATTTTTCAAGAATCCGGTCTCTGAACAGATAAACATGACAACAGAAGAAGTGGTTAGAAAGTTAAAAATATCCAAGTACTTTTCTCCACAATTAAAAGGTTAAAGAGTACCAAATTAACTGAAAAATCTTCAGAAATATTATTAAATGTTCACAGCAGCAGCTCTACAAACAGTATTAAGTATATGTTCACCATCTTCACTTTTTCCAACTGAGGCTATTGTATTCTGAACCCAACAACATTGCAGTCATCCTCACAATGGTCTCAACACTTGAAATAATTTGAAAGAAGAGCATGTGCCAAGTGATCCTTAAACATTCTCTTGCAATAAACCCTCTCTTAGAAATCCTGTTTATAGAAGAGTACCTTTTTAAGCAAAACATGTATGTTCTTACTTGTGAGTTAAGATGTGGTAGCCAATACACAAAGGCCTAGGGAAAAGCAAGGTAGCTTGTAGCTTTCATGTTAGCCAATCAACATTAACACTAAGGAGGAGCCTATGGCCTAACTCAGCCTACTAACTCTAACCTATGGGGTGTTTTGCCTTCAGTAAGATTCTAACCTGAATTAGCTGGAGCATGTTAGCTTAGCTCTGCCCTACAGTGACACCTTTCATCAATGGTATAACTATGCCTAAAACATTTGGTGCCTGAGGAATGAGTTTAAACTGTTACTTAGAAGAATGCTTCCACACGACCACCCAAGCTATACTGTGACTACAGGCATCAATTATAGCCAAGCAGAAGCCTCAAATGAAGATCTGCATACCATGACATGCTTCGACTTCTTTTAAGTGTAACCCTACCTCTGAATTTCCCAAGTTAAAAATGCTGAATTTAGAGATAAATTACAGCTTCCTTAATTTTAACTCTTGAATTACTGATACATATCCAACCTTAGCTCCATTTCAATTGAAATCTTTGTCTTAGAACTTCCTTAGCTCATAAAAATTACATTTCATACAAAAAAGTGTTGTATGAAACATTTCATAAATGCCTCAAAAACTACCATGTGACATTATTAATGACCTGAACATGCATAGTTCAAATCTTAAAAACTGTAATTATTTAAGTGCAAATTCAGTGGTATAGATGAGAAGTGTTAACAGCCACACTGCACCAGTCATTGAATCTGGGTTTCCAGCTGCCTTGCATCACCAGTGAAACACAAGAAAGATAAAGTAAACTGGTGAATCTGGCCCTTGATCCAATTAGGGATTCCTTAGCTTAATGAATCCCTGCGAAAGCAGAGGAATGGATTCAATGACCCAAAAGGCCCTTTCGGGTCTTAGTTTCCTAACTTATTATTTTTATACAAAGGTATCTCCAGGAGACGGATATTATGTGTAAGGCAGGGCAGGAGAATCCCATTCACCAAATCCTGATACCACTGAACTTTTAGGACTCTTCTTTGACTTGTTTCTATTCTTCCTGCACTGCCAAGACTACATTCAGTGGATGCCTATAATCACTAAGGCCGCAGAGCCAACGTAGGCAGCCTTTCAGCACTGCCTATGCCAATGGTTCTCAACCAGGGTGCCATGACACTCTAGGGTGCCACAAGATCCTTTGAAGAGTACAGCAAAGCACTGGCAGGTGTGCAAACTCATACACATTATTCACAAGATAAACTCAGAAGAGCAATGACAGTTGGGCTAAGTTATCTACCAATTAAAATACTGGCACATGTCCAGTTTTCTTAATCACACAGATAGATCGATAATAAGATTAATCAATAATTTAACTTAGTTACAAAATAGTATCTTCAAATATGGTCTATGCACAAACAAGTATAAAAAAGAACTGGAGTGTTTTTCTACTACTATATACATTCCAAACAAAAAAAGGCTGGTGTCAAATTTCTTAAAGAAGTTTTCATAAATTATTTTTATCAGACTAACAGATTCACTTCTAAATGCTCAGAAAAATAATTCTATAGGCAGAGCAAGTGCTGTAATTTGGCAGGCATACACAATATTTTTCATACATAACAAAGGTTAAAGTCCTGTTTTAGCTATAAAGCAGAATTCAGCCTTAATTATGAAACTGAAGTTAGCACCCCCATAATAAACATAATTCTAAATACAGATAAATGCACATGCTATGCTGCGATGATTAAGATATGAGGTTCAATACCACAGTAACAAACACCTAAAAAAAAGACTTGAACTAGAAAGTGTATGTTCAGTTTAAAAAACTGACTAAACCTTGACCAGAAAATTCAATAATCCTTTCTATTATGGCGCAATGTCAAAACACATGAACTATTTTTTTCTCTCTAGAGCAAATTTTAAGAATTAATGAAATAATGCTATCTGAAAAACATCAGAAATACTATTAAACTTTGGCTCTCCTTTTTCACAGTGACATCAGGAATTCCATATTAAAAATATTTCTTCATTAGTAAGACTGCAAAATAAAATATTCAAATACAGGCATACCTCGGAGATATTGCGGGTTCGGTTCCAGACCACCACAATAAAGCGAATATCGCAATAAAGAGAGTCACACAAATTTTTTGGTTTCCCAGTGCATATAAAAGTTATGTTTACACTATACTGTAGTCTATTAAGTGTGCAATAGCATTATGTCTAAAAAAACAATGTACATACCTTAATTAAAAAATACTTTATTGCTAAAAAATGCTAACCATCATCTGAGCCTTCAGCGAGTC